TGAAACCATCTTATATTTATCTTTTCCTTCTGACTTTATTGTGTTTACCATAATTAAGCTCATTTTTGTTGTCTCAGATAGCATGAGTTTATTGTCTTGGATTTCTGAGTAGTATTCCATTGTGTGTGTGTGTGTATATATATATATATATATATATATATCACAACTTTTTGATACATTTGTCTGTTTGGAAGTATTTAGGTTATTTCCATATTTTAGCTATTGTAAATAGTGCTGCAATAAAATAGGCATGCCGGTTTCCTTTTGGATTAGTGTTTTGTATTTTTTGGGTAGATTCTGAGGAGTGGAATGGCTGTATCATGTGGTAGATTTATTTTTTGTGTGTTTTGAGGAACCTCCTATAGCGGTAGGAGCAATTTACATGGCTACCAACAGTATAAGAGAGTTCCTTTCATGTTAGTTGACTCATTTTTTCCTACACAGAAACTTATTTTTCTTTAAAAAAGATTTATTTATTTATGCATACAGAACTGGGGTACAGGCTAGAGTTGCAGGGCAGTGAGAGGATTCACTAGAGACAGAGTGGTGAGCAGAACAGGCCGAGTGATGAAGTACACTGCTGAGGGAAGCAGCAGGCTGGTCAGGAGAGGTCTGCAATGCCATGTGGATCACCTTCTGGGCGGGGATCTAATTCATGCTGAAGTGGCTTTAGCTTCTTAGTGCTGTGCTTTAACCACCTGCGTCACCAGGGAGGGCCCACACAGAAACTTTTTACCATGACATTGTGTTAAATGTTTATGTTGTCTTTTGTTCGCCTTGCTCTTGTACATGAATCTCCAATTACATCACTGAAACTTAGACGTGAAATGTTTTGCCTATGTTATCTTCTACATATTTTATGTTTCACATTTTGCAGCCAAGTCTCTTATCCTTTTTAATTGGTACTTGTTTATTGTGTATGATTTAAGATAGTAGCCTAGTTTCATTCTTTTGCATGTGACTGCCTAGTTTGCCCAACCATTTATTGAAGAGGCTTTCCTACCAGGACTGTATATTTTTAGGTCCTTTGTTGTAGATTATTCACAGTGATGAGGGTTTATTTCTTGGCTCCCAATTCTATTTCAATTATTTATATGACTGGTTTTTGTTCCAGTAACATACTGTTTTGATTATTGTAGATTTGCATTATTGTTTAAAGTCTGAGTGTATGATCTACATTTCTTTTATTTCTTTGATTAAGCTTATGTCGACTATTTGGGGTGATTTATAGTTCCATATAATTTTCAGTAATGTTTGTTCTTTATCATTGAAGGCTGCCTGTAAGACTTGAAAGGGATTTAATTGAATCTGTACATTGTTTTTGGTAATGAGCATTATTTTTAAAAAAGTTTTATTGAGGTAACATTTTATTTATATAATTTTTTGTGTGTTTTAAAAGTATAGGGTCATCCCCTTCTGTTGTTACCACACTGCACTTACTACCAAAACACTAAGATACTACCTGTGTAGTATCTTTAACTCCCTCTCTCTTTTTTCTAGTCTCTTTTCTGTCCACTATGTTAACTTAAGTTTTATTGTTCACTTTCTAAAGTTAGTTATTAACTGGCTTTATCTGATACCTTGTTTTATTTTTCTTTATTTTTCATATAAGTGACACCATTTGGTATTGCTCTGTCCTTGTGAATGATTTCACTTAGTATAAACCCCTGTGGCTTATTTAGGTTGCTGCAAATGACATGGATTTTTCTTTGTGATAGCTGAGTAGTATTCCATTATGTATATATACCACATATTCCTGATCCATTTATGTACTTGGACATTTTGGCTGCCTGCAGAGCTTGAATATAGCAAATACTGCTGCACTGAACGTGGGAGAAGATGTGTTCCTTCAAATTAGTGTTTTTATATTCCTCAGGTAGATAACTTAATAGTTGAATTGCTGTTTTACATGACAAACTCAATTTTAATATTTTGGGAGATATCTATACCATTTTCTGTAGGAGTTGGCTTAGTCTATATTTCCACCAACAGTTTAAGAGAGTTGTTTTCCATCCACATCCTTGCTAACATTTGTTGCTTGTGATCTTTTGAAATGGGACAATCTCACGGGTTTGAGAGGTGATATGTCACTGTGGTTTTGATTTGCATATATCATGTGATAATGAACATTTTTTTCACGTGCCTGTTGGCCATCTCTGTATCTTCCTTGGAGCATGTCTGTTTAGCTCTTCTGCCCATTTTTGTGACTGGGTTGTTTGTATTACATTTGTTGAGTTCTAGTTCTATGTAAATCTTGAATATCAGAACCTTCTCAAATATATAATTTGCAAATATTCTCTTCTATTAACTAGTGTATCTTTTTATATGTGTTTCTTTCACTGTTTAGAAGCATTTTGGTTTGATATCGCCCCCACTGTTTATATTCTCCTTTGTTATTGTTTTGGTTTTGAAAATTAATACACAAATCAGTCTTTGAAACCTGTGTTGTAGGGTGTTTTGCCTTTGTTTTAGTCTGTGTATTTCATTATTTCAGGTCTTACTGTCAAATCATTTGTTTTGAGTTGATTTTTGTATATGGTGTGAGATAGTGGTCTAGTTTCATTCTTTTACCTGTGGCTCTCTAATTTTCCCACAATACTTACTGAAAAAAGCTTTCCTTGCTCCAGGGTATATTCTTATCTCTGCTGCATGAATTAACTGTCCATATAGATGTGGACTTATTTCTGTGCTCTCAATTTTGTACATTGGTCTGTATGTCTTTTTTGTTCCAATGCTATCCTATTTTATTTTAGGGAGACCACTGAAACTTTGATAGTCTTGCCCTGAATCTGTGTATTGCTTTCAGTAAGATGACCATTTTGATATGTTATTCTACTATCCATAAGAATAAAAGCTTTCTACTTCTTTTTGTCTTTTTATTTTTTTTTAACAATGTCATATAGTTTTTATTTTATAGGTTCTTTCTTGAATTTACATTTAGCAATTAATTCTTTATGATGCATTAATACATAGGTTTGTTTTATTGATATCTTCCTCTTCTAGTTCATTTTTTTGCATATAGAAAGTCAACTGATTTTTGTATATCGATTTTGCAACCAGTCACTTTGCTGAACTCACGTATTATTTCAGTTATTTTTTTATTGGTGCCTTTAGGATTTTCTATGTTTATTATGTAATCTAGAAATCTAGGATTTCTGATGATGTTTGAATACTAATACCAGAATATTAGTACCAGATCTTAGTAGAGAAGCTTTTAGGTTTTAATCATTGAGAATGATGCTAGCTATCAGTTTGTCATAGATGGCCTTTATTATGTTGAATTAAATATTGAAATATGTTTAACCACCCTAGGCTTTTTAGTTTTTTTTTAATCATTACTGTAGGTTGTTGTTGCATTAGGTGGTTTCTTAGAATCTGCTGATTAGAACATAATTTTTATGTTTCCCCCCCTTTTTTTAAAAAAAAAAAAAAAGATTTATTTATTTATGCATACAGAACTTGGTACAGGACAGAGGTGTAGGGTCAGTAGGATGATTCACCAGAGACAGAATGGGAAACAGAACAGGCAGATTGATGAAGTACACTGCTGAGGGGAGCAAGGGGTGAAACAGGAGAGATCTGCTATGCCACTGGGTCAGCTCCCTGGCCGGGGTTCAAGCTGGTGTTGAAGGGGTTTCACTAGCTTCATAGTGCTGTGCTTTCCCCTGTTGTGCCACCAGGGGAGGGGCCTTCCCTCGTTGATGTGGTTAATTTTATTGATTATCAGTTGTTTAACTATCCCTGTGCTTCTGGAATAGATTTCCCCTTGGTCATAGTGTACGATCCTTCTAATGCATTGTTGAATGTGATGTGCTAATATATTGTTGAAGATTTTTGCATGTGTGTTCATCAGGTAAATTAGTTGGTAGTTTTATTGGAGTTATCTTTTTGTGACTTTAGTATCAATGTAATATTTACTTTCATAAAATATATTTGGAAGTATTCACTCCGTATTTTATAATATTTGAGCTGGAAAGTTATTACACCTTTTTTTGTAAGTACTTCCTGTTATGGGTTGTGATGTCTTGGAGGTGCTCTATTTTTGCCCCAAGTTATGGCGTCCACTGAGTCAAAACCCCTTCTTGACCACTTTACTTTATTCTACCAAGAGTTAAGCAGGAAACCTCTTTTGATACCATCTTCCTCTTTCTGTATGGGTTTTTTTTTTGGTGTGTGAGTGTGTGTGTTTATATCTTTTATATAGATCCTTCATGACTATGATAAGCCTCTAATGATTATTTTTGAATAGAACTTTTAAGTACTCTATGTGGAACATTCCTATGTTAGGTTTTCAATATTTGTTAGGAAGACTAAATACCAGATAACTTATTCTCCCAATAGTATTCATATGCCCACTGGTCCTAAACTTACCATTGCATGTCTACATTATTGAAGCAATGTATTGTGTTGTGGTATTTAGTAAGAAAAGAGGATAGGTAGAATTTCAGATAATATCAACATTTAAGATATAAGCAGCAAATGAAGAACAGGTAGACAAACTGAAAAATAACTATTAGGATGGGGAGATGACAAGTCAGTTATGTTGGAAGATTAGAAGTTGTGTATATTATGAATGAGTTCAAGAAGAAATGGGTCAGCAGGACCAGATGTCTCAGAGAGACAGATTAAGAATCAAGAATGGTAAATTTCTGTTGCATTTCACTATTAGGAAATAGTGACCTCGTAGAGACATTAGAAGTGGTATGTAAAAAAGATACATTAGTGTGTTAAAAAACACAGTACTTTCTATTAAAAAAATAATGTAAAATGAAGACTCTTAAATGTCCTTAATCACTTTACTGATACTCTACAGAACCTCTGATTACTAAATTTTTAAATACATTGAAAATGTTACTCTAAAGCATTCATTTTTCATTAAACATTACCAGAAAACTTTTAATAATTGCAATATGTGTGAAACTTTATTTTAAGTTCTTAAAATAGAATAATAGAAACTTCTAATACAAGAACTAATTTAATTTGTTTATTATTTTTTAAAGTCTTGGCTGCTTATGATTCAACAGACAGAACAACTTAGTAGGATAATGAAGACACATGCAGAAGACCTAAATTCTGGACCCTTACACAGACTCACCATGATGATAAAAGATAAGCAGCAGGTGAAGAAAAGTTACATAGGTGTTCATCAGCAGATAGAGGCTGAGATGATCAAGGTTTGTCTTCTCATTCTGGAATTCTGTTTTTAATTAGATGTTTAGATTCAGTGAAATATTTTATTGCTTAATTAAAAAATTGTTTAATTATCATTTTATGAAAATGAATAGGTTTTGATGTTTCTCAGATATATCTGATTTTTATTGAATATAAGAGATTATTGAATGTAAGATACAATGTCACTGATGTATTCCAATGAAAGGAAAATATAGTGCAAATTATGTGATTATGCAATACTTCCCTATCACTTGGTTTTTTATTTTTTGCTGAAATATTTCATTTAGGCATTTCAAATTAGTACAATGTAATGCTGTACATGTAATAAATATACAGGCAAAATAAATTAGTATATTTTAAATTTTAAATTTTCTTACATTAAGTATTGTCTCTCTTGCTTAACTTTTTACGTTTTTCTGTTGTGAATTTTTCAAATGTATAAGATGAATGTAAGATGAACTCACATTGATTTATCCAGCTATATAGTCAATTAAAGAAATTTACCCCCTCACCACATTTTTTCCTACACTTGATCTTTTTTTTTTAAAGGTTTATTTATTTATGCATACAGAACTGGGGTACAGGCTAGAAGTGCAGGTCCATGAGAGGATTCACCAAAGACAGAGTAGGGAGCATAACAGGCTGATTGATGAAGTACACTGCTAAGGGGAGCAGTGGGCCTGTCAGGAGAGGTCTGCCGTGCCAAGTGGATCACCCCCAGGACAGGGATAGAACTCATGCTGAAGTGGATTTAGCTTCTTAGTGCTGTGCTTTAACCTGCTGTACCACCAGGGAGGGCCCTACACTTAATCATTTTTTTTTTTTAAAGATTTATTTATTTATACAGAACTGGGGTACAGGCCAGAGATGTGGAGGGTGAGAGGATTCACCAGAGACAGAGCGGGAAGCAGAACAGGCAGATCGAGGAAGTACACTGCTGAGGGGAGCAGTGGGCGGGTCAGGAGAGGTCTGCCACGCCATGTGGTCGCCTCCGGGGCAGGCGGGAATCGAACTCATGCGGAAGTGGCTTTAGTTTCTTAGTGCAGTGCTTTAACCCGCTGCGCCACCAGGGAGGGCCACACTTGATCATTTTAATGAACATTTCAAGTAACATTTTGACCATAAAGTTTTTAGAATATGTTGGTAAAAAATATTTAGTGCTCTTAAAAAAATGTTTTATTAATATTAACCCACCAAAAAAATAACAATAATTCCTTAATGTTACTAAATATCCTGGCTGTGTTCAAGTGATTGACATTTAAATATTTTCTTATAGTTAATTTATTTGACTCATGATTGAAATGCTGTCAACAAATTCAGAGATTCTCTTTTAACCTGTGGGTTCTCCCCTGCTCTTTTAAAAATGCCATTTATTTGTAAAAGAAGTTTAGTATTTAGCTCTAAGAGATTGAATACCATTCTTCAAAGAACAGACACACTATACTGAAATTCATATGGAATCTCAACAGAACCACAGAATAGCTAATGAGGATAAAAAAGGAACTTTAAACCTGTGAAATACCCCATATTGAAGATACCAGAAACAACAAGTGTTGGCAGGGATGTGGAAGAAAGCAAATCCAGTTATTCTGTTGGTGACAATGTATACTAGTTCATCTCCTATGGAAAACAGTGGAAGTTTTGCAAAATATAAAAATATTTACTACTTGACCTAATAATTCCATTTCTAGATTTGTTTGAAGACAGCAAAAAAAAGAAAACACACAACACGCTAATTTGAAGGGACATGTAGACTCAAATATCTTTGCAATACATTACATTATTCAAGCTATGGAAACATCCTATGTACCTAGGAACAGATGAATGGATCAGAAAGAAGTGGCACATATATACATAATGGAATGTAACTCACTTCTAAAAAAAACACCATTCTTTTGTTATTTGTGTCAATATGGATAGATATTAGGGCATTATGATAAGTAAAATAATTCAGAAGATAGAAAAATATCCGATGGTATAATTTATATGTGGAATATAGAGTCACAAAACAAAGGGTCAGATAAGGCCAAACCAGTAAAAAACTTGAATTGAGGCTTTCAGTGAGGTAGTGATGGGTATAGAAAACTATTGGGAGAGAACACAATGATTTTTTGGAATGGGTGTTGTGTGCTAATAATAATACATAAAGTGACAGATCCTATACTTCTAAATCACAAACTATGTTGTAAATCAATTTTATCTTTTTAAAATTATTTAAAGAAAAACATTGAATTTCCTTCATTTTAGATCTTTTTGTGATATTAAATGTGAGTAACGGTGTCCAGTTTTGCCAGCCTGATAGTCTGTTTATAAAGTTTTCTTTTAGCCTTTAACCTACTAGTTTTAGAAGCAATTGATGTATAGTGTTCCATTACCTCTGTTGGAATTGTAAATTGGTAGTATCTTTTTGCTATTATTCCTAATGTAATAGCTAGCTAGAATATTTCAATAAGAGTTTTTCTATCACAACTATTGGGTACACTAAAGTATAGTTCATATGGGAAAATCAGAATAAATCCTGCTTCAGCAACATCAAAATTTAAGGCTTCTAGTTCTCTTCCAGCATAAAAGAAGTTTGGAAGTTGCTAGTCCATTCTAACAGTTCTTTTTTTATTTTAGAAAAAAATCGAGTGTCAGGGCAAATGGCAGCTGCCTATATTGAAATGTAAATACAATGAGTTATAACTTATCAGAGAAAGTTTCCTTGTGAACTTTCACTTATTGTAGGAAAATTTGAACCACAAATTCTGGAGATTCCAGGTGGAAATTTCTGACACCTATAAACTCTGGGACCACTTTATCATTCAGTGTGTTCCCATATTTTAGTGAATTTTACTTCCCAGATCTCTACTAGATTCTCACAATGAATATTAGAGAAAATCCCCATGCCTCAGAAGGGGAAAGGTTGTATTTTTACAAATGCTAGAGCATTTTGTTTTTCTTAACAGGATCTGACTTCAGGAGAAAATGTTTAACAGGGCCTAGTGCAACTGAGCAAAGGAAAATACCTAACTTTTACCCATAGAAGCTCTCTTGTCACATGCAAGGGGGAAGTGGATACAGGAAAATGTGTGTAAAGTTTACAGTTCAGAGGTCCAAGTTCAGTAAAAGGCTGAATACCTTTTACCAAGTTCAGTAAAAGGCTGAAAACTGTATACCTAGGCATATTGATTTCAAAGAAAATGAAAGATACATAAAAAATTCTGAGTGAAGCTAGAATAAAAATCACTTATTATAGATGGTAAATATAAGAAATATATCTACCTCATTGTAGAACCCTAATATTTACCCTTCCTTGACAACTTAGCACCACAATAGTAAAGGTTTATTTTCTCTGGTCCCCTTTATCCAGTATAACATGAGTGACAATCAAGACAGTAACAAGGCTTACCAAAAGGCAAAAACATTGTTAGTGACAGAATAAGCATAAGATGGCAGGGATATTGGAATAATCAGTCTGAGAATTTAAAACAATTATAAATTGTAATCAGGAGTGGATGTCTTAAGACAAGTCAAAAAGAGATGCTAGGGATCAGAAACATTGTGACAGGACATTGCTCACAAGTGAGCAAACAGTCTCTAAATGAGGTTATATCAATAAATATGTCCAAAATTAAAAGTAAACAATGGTGGATTAAAAATGAACAACATATCCGAGAACTGTGAGACAACTACAAAATATATAATATACATGTAATGAGAATACTAGAATGAGAAGAGAGAAAACAACAGAAGAAATAACTAGAGACAGTAAAGCTTGATGATTTCCCCAGATTGACATGAGACCAAACAATAGATCCAAGAAGCTCAGAGAACTCCAGGCATCATAAGTTACATAAAACTGTATACCTAGGCATATTGATTTCAAAGAAAATGAAAGATACATAAAAATTCTGAGTGAAGCTAGAGTAAAAATCACTTATTATAGATGGTAAATATAAGAAATATATCTGACTTCTCAGAAATGAGGCAAGGGAGAATGAAGTGAAATATTTAAAGTGTTGAGAGAGAAAACCCAGTAGCCTAAAATTTTTCCCCTGTAAAATTTTCTTAAAAAGTAAAGGAGAGTAGGAGAATAAAGTTATTCTCAGACAAACAAATATTGAGGGTATTTTTTTTTTTTTTTTTGCCAGCAGACTGAGAATGTAAATGATCTATGTTAGATACTTGGGTCTAGATAAAGAATGGAAGAGTATTAGAGAAAGAATGAATGAGGATAAAACTCAGAACTTTTAAAAATTTCTTATCTAACAGATAACAGTTTATTCACAATAGTAGCAGCAATGTATTCAGTTATATATGAACAGGAATATATTGCTGTGTCTGTGTATGCTTATGCATGTTTATATAAAAGTGAAATGAATTATGCTCAGGATAGTAAATAACAACTAGGATTATTTTGTTATGGCAAAATGACTATCGTGAAGTCATATGTAGTTATTTGAATGTTAAATAATTGTAAATGTATATTATAAACTCTTAAGACAACTGCAAAAAAAATAAAGTATACTGATAGATTAAGAAATAAGAAAATGGATTGATATAAAATGCTTAATTCAAAAAACAAAAGACAGAACAAAGATTGGAAAAGAATAAAGGCAATTAGCTGTCAGGCTAACAAAAAGGAAATGTGAAAATAGGTAAATATTAATTGAAATATATTAATAGTTTGAAAACCGATATTCTAAATGAACTATTTGATAGAGATTTTTCTTGGATAAAATCAAAACTCATCTATTTATTGTCTTCAAGAAACCCACTTAAAATATTAAGGCAACATAACTTAATGATAAATGAATAGAGAAAGAGATACCATGCTAACACTAAAGAAGAGAAAGTAGATGGAGCTATATGAATTTCATCCAGAGAAGATATCAAAATTAGGAATTTTAATAGGGGTTAGTAGGGGAATTCATAGTGATAGGGGGTGACTTAATCATTTTTGTGTATTTGTCTAACAGCATTGTAGCAAAATACTGAATTGTAAAAATTGGATAGAATT